CCAAGGAAGCGTGCTAGGCCAAATCCTTTTCTTGCTGTACATCAATGACATCTGCACCACATCCCGTGGTAAGGCTTTCCTCTTCGCGGACGATATAAAAATCGCGTACACATTCCCCGCCTCTGCAAAACATGCCTTTAACCAGATTAAGCTGTGCGTACGACTAATCATGGAATTCTGTCCCGCGTTCTCCTCCCTTGACACCCAAAGTTGCAGACTCGCAATTGAAAGCGTCCAAAGCTCATTTAAGAAAAAGCTCTTTCCTTGGCCAAACCCCCTCTCTTACCGCTCCCGCCGTCAAATCCTAGGCCTCGAACCATTAGAGCGCAGGCGGTTTAAATTGAATCTAGCTCTCTTACACCGTCTGATGCATAAGAACGCCTTTATAGCAGAGGCTAGACCAAGCATAAACCAACAACCTCGCTACAGACTCCGCAACTCCTGTAACCACTTAGTGTGTCCCCCAGCTCGTATAAACCCACGCCACCACTTCTTTCCAGCTCATTACGCTCGCGTCTGGAACAGTCTTTCTGAGCAGCTGCGAAGCATCACACACCACCATGCTTTTTTTCAGTCTGTAGACAAATTCCTCACCTGTGGAACTGCTGCCGCCTTACTTAACACTCGACTACCCTCTGACCTCCTCTACGAATCAGGTCCAAAGCGCAAATGAGTCTAACCACGTTACAGTTAGTTGGCAAGTAAAGGATCCTGTTATCATTTCTACCTAGCCTCTTGACCTGATTTAAGCTAATAAAGGACCTAAATGCCAACTTGATCTAAATATGCAACGTTACTGGCCTGGTTGTTTACATTTTTGCCTTTTTCCCCGCACCAACTTGCACCTCGTACTAGCCTAGTCCCTACAACGGACTACTCTATAAACTCTGTCTGGCGTCTATTGTTCTCGTCCAAACTCTACTGACAAAAACCTGACCAAAAATAGCTCTTTTCTTCCTCAAATCACTGTAAGACTTAATCACCTACTAACTCTAATTATGCTGTGTTATTGGCCGGGTTGTGTTCTATTTCCTTAGTCAACATATACCTCCTTCTAATCGAGCCCCAACCCCGGATTACCGTATTGGCTCTGTCTAGTAACTGGTGCTCTCAGTCTGACTCTAACTGACAAAAACCAAACCAAAGTCGTTTTTTCTTCATTTCATTATCCGAGCACATTCTGCGCTTATATATACATATATATATATATTCGATGATTTGCGCCATGAAACACTCCCACACACAACATCGTGGAACGCTTCTGCTCGACACGGCAGTCCACAAAAACGCTCCGACGCCGTTTGGCCATGGGGCGATCGCCGTGAGAATCAACATTCCAGTCCCACCGTCTCAATTAAAACTGTCATTCCACTTCTCCGCAACTTGCCTCTATCACAGTCTGTATGCTGTTTGCTTGTTCGAATTGACTGAGCTGTCTTTACTGGCCTTGGTGTCCTCCCGCCAAAAAATGGTAGCCTGAATTTTTATTAATGCATAGACCGCACTTATGACTGCTTGGATGGTTTTCCACTTTGCAGATCTGGTAGCATGCACGAGGGAGGAAAACCTCGTGTGGTGGACGGGTACACCCTGCAGGAAGGGTCACCCTGTTACGTTGCATCATGGTGCGTTCGAATACCCACCACCCCTCCAGTAGCACGGGTGCGTCGCCCATCGCCAGTGGTTCTGAGGCTGGCCTTTAAATTCAGAAAATCAAAAAAGTACCGCTGACATCTATTTGTTTCTGCTGGTGCTGAGCTCGCCTCGGTTGAGTCGTGCATCTACCAATGCCATAAACCACAGATGAAAACGAACTGGCCTCTCACAAAACAATAAAAAAAATAAAAGTTCACTTGGGATAACCCGAAGATACTCTGCAATGCCCATGGCCTACATCCGCGAGCTTAGCTGTATTTGCCGTCGTCAGAACAGGGCCTACACCGCACCAAAGCCCATTTCGTCATACATAAAAACATCTACTTGCCGCTCCCAGTTGTAGACACGAAAGTCTTCATCGCTATGCACCACCTGCAGACTAGGGACGACAGCAGTGCTTCGGGGACTGGTGACTATTTCCCGTGCACACACTTTCTGTCCTGGTATTACCCAACTCATGTAATAAACACCCGAATAACCAGTTATCCTGGAAGTCCACTCACTCCAGCTCTTATACAACTGATTCACACGCCACGGTTCTGCGCGCTTATATCGGCTTTTACCAGATCGCTTGTAAAATAATATCGTATGTTAGCAAATGCAACCCCTGGGCGCTAACCCACTAAGCAGAAATCTATCCATTTCATGTAATCACTTGTCATCACCCTAGTTGCAGCAGACGCCAAGTTTTTATTTCTGTGTATATTAATACATATCATCCCATTTTACATCCCCTCAAACTCACTATGTTTTGCGCATCTCTGCCCGTCCCCTCATCTTCCGAAGCTTAACTTCGGAAAAGCCCGTTTTGGACGACCTGGTTAGCTGACACCCAGTCCGCCTGGCATATGATCTACAACTCCGGGATCACCAAGCGTAACAAGAAAACCTTCAATCCCATATCGGTTTCGTTCCACCTTGTTTCCTCGACCAAGCTGAAATGAACACCGCTGCTCAAAGAATTGCACACCCCAGCCGAATCATCCCAAATGTGACTTCCGTCACGGGGCTGTCCAAATACTGACGCATGTCACGGCACTGCCATACTCAGTTTGGTAGCACACTCGCAACTGTTCCATTACTCCCCTCAACCGTGCCCTCTCGCCGACTCCATTCCCTGACCCCAACTGCCTTCATGACATTCATTCCAACCTGTGAGACTACTTGTTCGAATCCAACCACCTCTGTATCCCCATCCGACCTGAACCCTTCACCTGACTTCCCAACAACCAGTGAGTCTGCTCGTTCTCAGATTGCACCACATTTTTTAGACTAAACTTGCCGTACTCTCCCAATTCGAATTATCCCATCTCCACCTCCAATCTTGCTCGTTGTGATTTCGGCCGTTTACCCAACTACCCAAGGCCGCTCATGGCCAGCAATGGTTTTCCAGTTTTAGTTCATGTCAGCCGACTGAGTCCTTGAATTAGTCGGACCTCATGCATATTGTTCCCTACAAGTTGCGAAAGAAACTTATTATTATTTAGTCGAGTACCTCCCACTGTTTATGACACTGTCTTCTTTTGGCGCAATCCCCACTACCCGCAAAACACACAGTGATGCCCCATGCTCATGCCATGGTATGCCTTCTCCAAAATGGATCATTATAAAAGTCTTCGCGGGATAATGTTCGCCCTTGATTTCCATGAAGAAGCTAAACGGTTTACGCACTGGAGCAAACCGTTCAATTTACAGGTGATCGAGAGATGACTCCCCTGCCAGCTTAGGCGAAAACGACCTGGATGACTGCTGTTTGCGTCCTGTTTGTCACCAGCCCACACGCTCAGCTTACTAGTCTCATTAGGGTCCTCGATGTTCCGTTTGTGTTGCTGACTGTCTATGGTATATGTAGCGCACAAATGCGTCAGTGCTTTTCTTACCGAGCACGCACATAGATACCACATAGTTATCCGTCATGGGATCCTTCAATGCCTTATTAAATGCCGTGTAAAGTGAAAGGCCTACCACCCCAATTCCTCAAACTACAGATCTGAAGCCACTTCTGAAGCAGGGTGATCTCAAAGTCAAATGAGTGCCAGCAATTAGGGAGGTAGATTAGTTAAAACAAACCGGGACAGAAATGATGGTAGATTGGGGTGATTTTTTGTTTAAAAAAATATATAACAAAATGCAGCATTTGTGTAAGCATTTTGATTTCACCCGCAAATGTTGAGCAGAAAAGGCATTACCTGGCCAAGGACAACCAGGTGCTGCCAGGTCTCCCGTGTGTTGGGCGGCACTGCTTTTGCTGCCGTCCTAATAGGCCCGCCTTCACGAAGAGCTTCACCTTGGATCCAGCCAAAAGTTTATCGATTGGGCGAAGGTTACGTGACTTGTTGGATTGTATTTGTGTGGATTTGGTGGCGAACTCGGGGTACGTAAGAACTTCAGTTATACTGTCATCCAATTCGTGTCTTTGTGGCGACGCCACCGACGGCCGACTTTGCAACCTTTGTTGCCGTGACACTTCTGAAAAACTTTCAGATGTTTAGCCTGCTCTCCTTCATGTGTCTGTCCACTGAAGGTCGTTACTGCGCATCAGAGAGCTGGATGACCTTCTTCACAGCCAATGGATCCAGAATGGATAGCGCTCGACACTGGTTTAGCGATAAAAGTGCATTAACTAAACTCGTCCAGGCAGCTTTGTTCTCTGTGTGTCCTCCAGAACTTTGCAAACTAGTTCCGGCTTTTTCCTCACGTATCCGTACTAAAATGAAACATTTGGACGGACCTTTTTGATTCGGGAGAGGATGTCTGGTCCCGGTTTTCATAGCTGTCTTCTTAGTTTTGGGCCGAGTAGCACCCCTGAGGTGGGAGCAGCTGGGGCAGACAAATGGGTCAGGAGGGTTGGGTAACTGGTCTGTCTGGTTTATCCTGCGAATCTGTGCATTTAAAATGCCCTCAGGCCTGGCAGGTTTGATGTTACATTCCACGTCTGACATTCGATGGACATCCGTTTCACACACATCTGTTTAGGTCCATCAGCAGCTTCGGAGAAGAGCACTCTGATCTGGTTGGTGACTGAGAGTGGGTGCACCGCAAAAATGAAGCGCATTCTGACAGAGGTTGGCCCACGTATATTATACTGCAGTAAAAAATTCTGAACAATGGCAAGTGGTAACTCTGCACATTGACTAAACAGAGAAGGAATTGTTCCACAAGTTTGTACGAGCAAGTAACACAACCACTTTTGAACGTACCTTGTGAGATGTGTGAAACACACTGAAGGGAATAATAACGGTGTGTCCTGGATCTCACGGTCTACGGTGACACCCGATAATACATTTGATCGCGGTATCTGGTTCCAGACCACGCGACCCACTGGATTTGAAGGTCACGACAAGGGAGCATAAACGCTCCGCACTTGAAATTAATTTCGCCGGCGATGGGCGGTGGGGAATGTAAGTGGTGAAATCATGTAATTGGTATTGAGAAAGTCAAATTTTCCACTCCTATGTATTCGTCTTTTAACTGTACGTTCAAACCTTTAGTGTGTGCCCAGTAAGTTAAGGTCTTGTAGTTATTTTGCATGTCCAAAGTGGACTGACTTCTGGAGCGGGAATCAGAACTAGTGAGATTCTGATCACGTCCATGGATACTGACTGAGCTCTTTGTTTTTGTGGTTTTGGTAGAGCCTAGTTTCCGGATCATAGTTACACATGTCGCTTAAAAGCTCTCAAGCATTTGTGTCGTAAACTCCATGGGTGATTTCCACGTTGAAATGGGCCATCGAAAACAATAGCATGGAGTGTCCGTTCCGTTCAAGTGTTCACGGTACGCTGTGTAGAGGATCAACGAATGACTGCATTTAGGTTGCCGATGTTATTAGCTCCCGGAAGGGTGACGACCAAATTACTTCGTAAACCAACATTTCGCTATCGTGGTTACTGGAGAACAAGTTATTTTGCGGGAATTAAGGGCACCTATTTCTCTACGCTGCTCTACTTCCAAGGAGTATAGGCACTCATTACTCACGCGTGAAGTGTCTAATAGTCCTGATCCAGAAGCATACGAGCAACCAAATATATCCGGTGTCTCCAAAAGACATTTTGGACCTGTATATCGAGCCCTTGGGCCGTTTGAAGGTGCAGCACAAAACACTGGTCGTAGCTTACCGTCGACCACAAGTTGGGTACGCCGTTCATATGTGGGATCCGTAGTTCAGGCTTGTCGTGTGAGTTCAGCATAGTACCACTGAGCAGGTACGTCTTTTCCGTACCCTAACATCAGCCGTGCGTATAGAGTCGCTTTGTCCTTGCTCCATGGCTTGCGCCAGGCTACAAAGTTGCTTCACACCCTAATTAACTCCCCCATGACCCGGAGGTTACAAAACCCAACTTGCCCTGTTATCCTTCAGATTAACGGACACTGAGGTAACCATTTTGAGTGCCCGCGCCCCTTCTTCGAGCATGCCTTATGTGGAACACCCTATCAACAAGTAGTATGTGCTCCAGATAAAGTGCTGCCGAAGCATTGACTGGAATTCCACCCCAACCTTACCTTACATTCACCCAATTCATGCAACATGTTATCCACTACTGTGACAGCTTGTGGACGAGAGTGGCTAAAACCTAAGGAAACCAATAAAATCAAGATGGATAAGGGGATTTCCTATTCTGAATCCGTACACTTTTTCAGGTTACAGTCTGAGAAGTGATTCAAATAAAGTACACAGGACTGTAAGTAATAATAAAACAAATAATCGTTCAGCTGTAGCACCCTTTTGGTGCCTAGCTGCCTTGCCACCCGAAGGAGGTACGAGGGCTGGGATACTGCCAGGTCGCCCAAGCCTAGACAGGGAAAGTCGAATGGCAGAGATCGGGTTAGTAGGAAATTTGTTTGAAACAAGATCCATGGTGCATCCCGAAGAAGGGTTCTGCAGTGGTTTTTGTAGTAGACCTGCAAAACCTTCTTCCTAACGGAATTGTCAGTAGTCAGTCAGTTCAGTTTATCAGATGTATGCCGCGGGGGACGAGATGACTCAGTGGTTCGAACGCGAATTTACTGACCGGAAGCTCCGTGTTTGGAACCCGACATCTGCCTCTTGACTTCCCCTATCTTTGTTTGGGCAGCTTGGCAGTATCCCAGCCGTCGTGCTTCCTTTAGGTGGTATAGCAGCTAGAAACCGAAAGGTTACAGCTGAACGATTATCTCATCTTTATATATGCCCTACACCGAGGATCCGGTTTCGGTCACGGAAAGTTGTGAAGGTTGAGGAGATAAAATCCCTCGTTGGATGCAGTTGCGTAATCGTAATGATCGAATGATAATACTTCGACTTTAACATTTAGAAAGTGGACATCCTTGCTGGACACCACTCTAAGAAAGCTTAAAGGGAGCACCCCGTACACTTAAACTTTCAGAAGTGTGTGCATTTTAGAACTGAATTATGTTCACAAACTTCTGAGACGTCGCCTGCCGAGCATGTGTACTTAAGTGGACTGACTTTCATGAGAGGCACTGGAGATAGTAGAGCGCTTTATGTAAATCGGGTTCTGTTCCAGATATATAGACGTTAGTAGGCAAATTTGAATGCCAGAATTGTGCTCCCCAAACTGCATTTGTCATTTGGCTCCAAGAATCGCGTGCAGTAGACTGAGTTCCAGCTGCCGAATTACGACTGAGACACGATCCTGTAATCAGAAGACCTGGAGTGTCTTCGGGTTCAGTAGTAATAAAGTCCAAGACCAACACCAAACTATTCTCAATTATGTGGTTATCAAACAGGTTCTGGGTGATGTAGCGGGAACTTTGGTTCCGGACTGCACACATCGTTACAAGCTTTAGTAGTTTTTTGATGTACGGTTGTTCTGTTGGGATCACTGCATTAAATGGCGTTTATGTAGTGTCAGCATGCACCCCGGTGGACCACAGTTCTGAAACTGAGAGAGATAATTTCTATCGTGGCCTGTTACGATTGCGGTGGTCAGCAAAAAGAAAGTTGCCGTCATCCGGGCGAATGATATGAATGCCCAATTTGGACTACTAAGTCCGGAAAAGGCAGTTTTTTTTAGATTCGTAGTCGGTGTTCAATGTAACTGAGTGACGACTTCTTCAGTTTTATTCCCAACATTATCACCTCGTGATCAGCACGAACGCTTACACCGGGCTACTTGGAGGCCACAGCCCACAACATGGTCATCAACGTAGTTGGATCATGTGGCCGTCAGTTACCAATGTAGTATTTCAATTTGAGATTGCCGTTCCTTCATGGGTGCGAACCTTCACTCAGATCATGTGAGCTCAGTTATTATCACGTATTCCTTCAGGATTATGCATGTCGAAGCAGAGCATCTCCGCCCATCAACTTTGATGAGCGTCCCAGCTCAACTGTACCGAGTTGATCTGGAAATGCGCAGTCACACGGATTCTAAAGATTGGTGTATGAAGGAAGAGAAGCAGTTGTTTTCTCAGTTTTTTTTTGTTATCTGCCCATGCCACGCGACCCGAACAAATGAATGCATGTCATTGTCGAAATTAGCTGATCTTACTGCTGCCAGAAAAGCCGTAACAGGAATCACCTGCTGCACTGTGCGCGTAGATCCTTCACCGTCAGACCATCAAGGTTCTGAGGAATCTCATTGAACGCTGATGGATTGAGAAGACGGACTGTTTGAGCTGATTCGAGTAACTAGCCATGGGTCTAATTGTCAGCGAACTGACCTGCGGTAACATTCGTTGCCCCCCCCCCCAACCAATTATTTAAAGTACTTTAAAGAACCTTGCGAACGTCGACAGTTGTTTGTCATCGGCAGTGTAATCACAGTGCTAGATATCATAGCTTCGACGCCAATATCATGTTCATAGAAGTCACGTTTCTGGTCGCACTACCACAGTGTAAACAGTGCCTTTGACAGACAAACTGACGTCGCACGAATCCCATAGGCGTCACAGGTTGGCAAAAGCTGCCCTGGACCTCCAGATTCGAGGAGTAATCTCATTTCCAGTCAATCCACAGGGATGTACACAACTGCGAAGGTAAGCTAATTTACCTACCATGTTGGTTGGCTCGTCTTTAGGCATTAGGTTCGGGTTCGATCCCATTTTTCACATGCCAAACCGTGCGGTAGAATTAGGTTATTTAAAATGGATAGCATCTTCAAACGAGCCGCATACTTAATCTCTGTGGGCGAACGTCCTGGGGCCATTTCGACTCCCGAGGTTTCATAGGCAGTAAGGGAATTTTCAAACTAGAGGAACTTCATTTGGGCTTCGATCTGCTTATGTTGCTTTCGTAATATTACTTGGAGTTGATCTGTCGAAATTGACATCATGGGTCCTGGTTGTCGCCAGTTGTTGAAATTTCTTGAAATTCCTTTCTTTGTTCCTGTCCTTGGATCCTTCGAACCGGAAAGGCGTATTTTTACACTGTTGTGCTTTCCTGGCCCTCTAAAGATATTTGATATCTGATCACATGTGAAATGCTTACGGAAAGTTGGTACTTTCAAAGCTTAACTTTGAGTAATTGAAGTTTACTTTCCGTTCGGCTTCAGAATAAGGTAGGGTGAACGGGCGTTTACCATTATTAGTTCATTTCCCCTTCCATCATTTTCTCAGCTGCTTAGCAAGTTAGGTTTTTGAGGAGTTAACACATAATGGCTGTGGTAGTGCGCATTGTACAATGAACGTAAACGTACGGCAGCGAAGCGTCAGTGTTGAGCACTGATGTCATGCTGTCAATGATGATCATAAACTGTGTCCCTGGAAAGCAAGTTGATATCACACCAGAACCACAGATGTCACATGTTTGCAAACCGTACCATGAACTTTCCCCTTTTGGTAGGTGGTTTGGTCTTTGATCGGTGCACCGGAACTTATACAGCCACTCAGGGAGATTTCCCATCACGTCGATAACTTTGTCTGTAAGCATGATATTCGGGCTCGGCCATATTCAGTCGTACACTACCATTTTGCACTTTGCATACCAAATCTTGTTGCTTAATTATGTGGTCCATTTAGAAATATTTGTTTATCTGCAGGGTCTGGTCCCAAAAGAACAGTGTTGTCCGTTTACTGAGGTTCTGTGGGCCGGTATTCTGTTCGTCAAAATGTTAGGACAACGCATCAGTGTATTGTTTAATAGTAATAATGTTCTAGAGCAGTAGAAGTTGCCAACATTGTTTGTTGTAGTGTATGTTAAACTCAAACGAATGCTTGCTACTTCATTGGTTGTATAGAACTTTTAGAAGAGTTTCTTATTAAGATAGGATGTTTTGGCGAACTACACTCATTTGCATACCATCTTTGTTTTGACATAGGACTCATCTGGAACCCAACTGAAAAAAATCGTTCAGCTGTAGCACCGTTCTGGGGCCTAATTACCACACCACAGAAGGAAACACGAAGGCTGGGATACTTCCAGGTTGCCTAATCCTAGGCAGGGGAAGTCGGGACACAAAGGTTGGGTTCGAACCACAGACCTTCTGCTCAGTAAATTTCGCGCTCTAACCACTTGGACCGTCCCGTGTGTTCTCGGCAACCTTATGAGTAGCGCATTACTTTTATACAGTAGGATGTTTTAATTTGTGGGCCATTGGAAATCTCTGGCCATCGATGGAGCGAATAATGACCCAAATGTAACAGGTGCAAAAACCACACGTCTTGATCGTGGAAAGCCATTGTGCTAGTTAAGCAATTACCGCAGGGCATGACAGGATCAACAGGTTTTTGTTCGAGAAGGCCCACTAATTTGTTCATTACACGTTGTTGCTGAAGCAAGTCGCGAGTCGTTCTTTGTTGGGATCTCACTGTCGCCGTTTTATGGTCACTGAGATGTCATTCTATTTTTCTCCGTAGGTAACAATTTTCCAAAGCGATACCGCCGTATCTATCCTACATCACCGGGAGAGTCTTTCATCAGTCAGCATTTGAAGAAACAGTCATTGGTCACTGATGTCAAAGTAGGTCTGTTTTATATCTGTATGCCCGCGGCTACTTGAGTGTTTAATATGCGCAAGTGGATCGCAATAATGGACATTGTTTTCATCGATTCTATCTACAGGAAGCAGTACATTCTTCTGTGATAACTGCGCGTAACGTAGAACGCTTCCTTAATGTGAAGACTCTCCGCGACCTGTTTCTTAACGGACTGAACCAGTCACGTAAGTGTTCTGTGTGTAAGCAGCGTGGATTTTCTTCCGTCACATTTGTATTGTACTTTACTAACAGCTCTTCTGAGGGTGGTGTTTTTGGGTGCTTCGGTCAATTTTGTAGCAAACGCGTCGGATCGATATCATCAGTACGTTCTGTAGCGGAGCGCTGCGTTGGTAGAGGGCACTGGTCGTTGGAACTGCGGCTTTGTAAACCTATTATTGTAAACTATTGTTGGCTTCAACTCCTGTTTACTTATTAGCTGGACCACGCAATAGAGACCTCAGCGTTTGACAGGTGCTTGAGGGATAACAAATCAGACGACACCATTAGTTTTTTCTACTTGTACCTTTTCCCGAGTGTAGTATCGATGCCAGTCCTTACTGGCCCGGATTACTTTGAAATCATCAACCTGAGGAGTAATCTAATACCATGCTGCCGTTTTATAAGGCTAGAAGGAGCCTCTCAGACATTCGTCTTTGGAGGAAAAATTTGATGTTTCTTCAGGATCATAACGGCTGCCTAACCGAGCCAATTTTACAGCCGCTTCCTTGTTCTGGTTGAATGGTATAATATCTTTGTTCGGCTTAGTGGTTAGGGCGTGAAGTTACCGACCAGAAGGTCCGTTCTTCGAACCCGACATTTGTTTCTTGACTTCCCGTGTCTTGGCTCGGGCAGCCTGGCAGTATCCCAGGCACCGGAATGGTGCTGCAGCTGAATTTTTTAAACAAACTAGATTTCCCGGTAGCACAATACAGCCACGAACCTCATACTACCTGGTGCGATAGAGTTATCTAAGTTATTTGATTTTCCAGTGGATTTCATCTTTTCACAAGTCAAAACCGAAGGCTACACACCTAGTTATGCAACGCCTGAGCTGTGTTATCTTTCCTACGGTAAGCTATGTTACAAATGGATCTAAGTGGATACCCGCCCAAGTCTAGGCAGCCGGAAAGTGTTTCAGCCTTCGTGTTTTCCTCTACCGACATGGCAGCTAGACACCGGAATGGTGCTGCAGCTGAACGATTTTTTTAAACTAGATTTCCCGGTAGCACAATACAGCCACGAACCTCATACTACCTGGTGCGATAGAGTTATCTAAGTTATTTGATTTTCCAGTGGATTTCATCTTTTCACAAGTCAAAACCGAAGGCTACACACCTAGTTATGCAACGCCTGAGCTGTGTTATCTTTCCTACGGTAAGCTATGTTACAAATGGATCTAAGTGGATACTTGTGTTCAGCGTTCTTCACCTGACTTCGTGTGGATATTTTCCCGATAAACTGGATGGACGTTCTGTGCGACTGATTTTGAAGACTCAGTTAACGTGATACTTCAACCAGATGGGAACGTCTTGCCAAACAACATACTGCCCGGTCAGAGCAACTAAAACAACAGTCTCATAGTGTCTTGAGGCTTCATGACTAGGATCTGGGGTTGTGGTCTTCCCACGCAAGCTCACTGCGTGAAATTAAGGGTTATGGCCACATTTTGCCGGATAAGACATTCCGGATATCCGTTTTATCTTACTATCCCGTAGATTCGATTAGGTTCCTTTTGTGAAGCGTATTTGAGCTTAATCTGTTGGTTCGATCTACCACTGGTTCTATGGTGATGCGCTTAATGAAGTGTGTCTAGCAGAGCACCAGCCGTAGTAATAATACTGGTCTTAATGTGTGGCCTTTCTGTGCTTGCACGGTCTGGTGAAGACGAAGTGAACGTAAAGTTCGATTTGTATTGGTAGACAGGGAACCATAGTGTCTCTATAAAGTCCTGTTTCATAAGGTGGTGTATTTTGCTAGCTTTAATTTGGCCGTGTCAGTTGTTGTCACTTCTGCGCACCAGTATAGCATTACTTAGTGTTCAACTGAACACTTAGGGTAGGGGGCGAGATGGCTCAATTGGTTAGAGCGCGAAGTTACCTACCGAAAGGTCCGTAGTTCGAACCCGACCTCTGGATGCTACAGCTGAACGAACACTTAGCCGCTTGAGTATCTTATTTTTTCCAAAATTGTCCTAATTACAGAATTATTTGGGTCGGATTATTCCACACACTCACTTACTGACGCGCATACTACCAGCTACGTCCACGCAGTAAACCTAACACGTGCACATGCACACGCTCAGTGAAATCAATCTACTGGACACACCAACACTATCAACAGCGGCCATTTGTCAATCAGGTTTCATTGTGATTCGAATTAACAATTAGTCATTTTCCCTGTTGCTACTTTGGGTGCACGAATGTCTGAGAAATCTTTCGCCTATGTCAAAGCGTCCGAATCATCGTCCTAACTTTCCTGTATTGCCGTGTTTTTACACCCCTTTCTTATTATGATCCGTATACCGCCAAAGTATTCGGCAATATCAAGCGCATCCTTGGTCTCGAAAAGCCTCATGTTATGCGAAGATATAGTTTCTACTTTGGGACTGCACGCCCCCCGTGGGTTAGCAAGAAATCAGCTAAAATGGTGTACATTGCATGCACCCTGAACTCCGGCTTTGACAATATCTACGTGGTACGCTAAGTACACTCGTTTGCATGTCAATTTGGTTTTGACGAGAGACTCACCTGGAACCCACTTGGATCTCTCGTTTTTTGATGTCTTTAGGCGGTACGTTTTTCAGGGCAAGATATTGAAGCGTTCTTCCAAAGTTTAATTCAAGAGATTGACAGTCTGGGTTGGTCGTAATCTGATGATAACTTCTTGTGGAGTTTGGATGTGTTCAAACGTCGTCATGAAACTGGAACCGTTAGACAGCCCCTAGGCCTGTTCCTTGTAAGTGTACATTGAAAAGATGTAGTTCCGTAAACCGGAGTAGGATTGAAATTTGCGCCACATGTTTGCTCTAGTCTGTCTTGTTTGATCAGTTATACGTCCTTCGTAGCCACTGTTAGATCACAGCTAACAGACATCATATACAGTAAGAGGAAAGGTCCCGGTCGAAAATCGATATTCACTTTTCGGTTTGACCGAATACCTTCAAAATGTTTTAGTTGCTCTCTTGATACTGAACTCGTCATATATGAACCCTCGACTACATCACGATAAACTTGAGTGCGTCTTGTCCATTAATAGTGTGTAGGATAGTCGTTTAGCTGTTGCACTCTTTCGGTCCACAGCTGCCGTGTAACCCAAAGGAAGTGCGGCGGCTGAGATACTATCATCTGTTGGTAATTGATCAGGTGGCTTTGATCTTTTTGCCGAGCTTGAGGTGGCTGTTGATCTGTTCGCCGAGCTTGGCAGTTGATTTGCATCTTGCTGGGGCCTGCACAGATGTAATCGAGTTGGTTTCGAACCACGGTTCTTCCGGTCAGTAGCTACATGCCATAACTAAATCATCGACTTTTTGTCCATCAGTTGTACGAAGACCGCGGTTACGTATTTCGTATCCAAAGGATATTGGCTGCGTTGAGCGGTCACACTGGCTGTTAATTTTCAACAGTTCTCAACGGGACTCTCACAGTTTTGTTTGAAATTAATTCCTGGAAAATTATGCTATCGTAACAACAAGCTTGGCAGCTAGGTCAACAGCCATCTGTTCAGCAACCAACCTAACAGCATATTTACCAGACTTCGTTACTGGCATCGTGCGTTTTTTGGAACATGTGCTGGGAACGGAAAGTCTCAATGTCGCGAAATTGACTGAATAGCGAGTTCTCTGTCTCCATCGTGTCATCATCGGAAGCAATATGTGGATATCTTACTTGGAATTGTTTGCAAAAGTTCCCAGTAAATACTACCGTTTGGTAAATGTAATGATACGAAATGTTTGCTTGCAGAACTCATTTAAAGTTGACCTTCAGATTTGGTCTTGTAGGTGAAGCCCGTCTGTGCTAAGGACCAGACTGTTTTTTGTTGGGAATCATCAACAATGCCTATTTCAGAGATATATTGGGAGGGGAACCAACGTTGGACCGTTCGGTTACAGGTAGTTGGTCAGTAGTGTGTATTTCCGATCACGTGGAGCGGTGTTGACCGGCTCCTCTCGTGACGGTTTGTTACGCAGATGGCCCGTGCCAGTTGCTTGATGAGATCCCAATCGAGCGTGTAAAACCCTTCACTATCTACCGATTACTGGTAACATGCTCAGAAAGTGAACAGTCCCAAAAGTCAAGCGATACTTCCATCTGAGAAATCACCATTCAGGTATTCAGTCGACACTGGATCAAGTGACATGAAGTATGTGACTAAATGCTGCGTGGTGCTATGTCCTGTCTATGTGTGGATTAATCACACTGCTGATTAGCCCCTTTCGACCGATTGACATAGTATTCAGCGGCTAACCAGATGTTCGTGCATTCTAGCAACAAGGGTGGGACGGTTGCACCGCACTTCCTGGCTTGTCAACCTAGGTACAATCACAGCTGAAACTCCATAGTCACTACGTACAAACTACCAGGTATTATGATTTACCTCTGGTTAGCTCTATAAAGTCGCCACATTATCTCCCAAACAAGCAGCGCTTTTGTGGATCGCCTGCTGCTTGCCGAATGGGAAGAGTGCACACTTTCGGTAATCATTCTCAAGCTCAATTTTCATTTTTTTTTCATACTGGATGTCAATAATATTTAAACTTGCTAATCACACTAACCTTCCGTAAGCAGCCGCCGAATAGTCCAGCGGTTTGTCTCAGGGAATCTAGTTCTCAACGTGTTCCTCAGTCTCAGCTAACTCGAAGCGTCGGAGTGATGATGTGATGAGACTCTCCGGCGTGAGTCGCTCGAAGTGCCCTAATCTTTAGCGAAGTCATCCTGAGTGAGCCATTCGAACAACGTCAGTGCAATGAAAATTTGATTGAAATTTGAGGGATACGCCCATCTGATAAACCCCGTACAGGGCGAAACCGGTGGTAGATAGCTGATCAATCGTGTTCATGCTATAAACGTCAATCACCTTGTGAATAACCCGTGAGCATGTTAGGACCACCATGGACAATCAGTGCACTTTCCATCAACTGAAGTAAATATGTAAGGCCACGCTCAGCGTGCATGTTTCACTCTCGGTGTCCTGATAGCTAAACATGCCCCAGAGAGTCCCTACGAGGTCAAGGTCAACGTAGTCTCACTCTTTCAGTCAGCTTCTGTGTCGAAAGCTAGACTAATCCTTCGTAAACAGGACACTTAGCGGGACTTCGTTTCTTTCCAATGTCACAATGTCACCACCTGGACCACACACTTCTTTTTAGATTTGCTGATAGGGCGCAGTCGAAAGATGTGATCGATTAGCTTGTTTATTGATAAAAAACTTTCTGTTGAGAGATAGATACTTATAGGATATTTCTTTCTGGGTTTCTGCTCATTGAAACTATCATGTGGTAGAGGTTTTTAAGTCCGCTGGTGTATACTACTCTGAAGGACCTGGCAAGCACCAACCTCTGTCCTAGACTCCAAAGAATTTTTTTTACCCGTTTATGCTGGATTCGGTAGCGGGATCAATGAGTGCTTGTGCTTGTCAGATGCACACTTCAACTGACATGCCTTATGTTTCACTCACCACAGTGTATCATTAAGTCTGGATTGTTGCTTTTGATAGTGCTGACAAGACTAATACCAGTGCACAGCATTCATGTCGGTTGATATTTTAGGAGGGAAATTCCAAGGTTGATCATGCCGGGCTTGGACAACGGAACCGAGGCCTGACGACTTGTTCGCTACAGTTCCTTGCTACAATCGTGGGCACATGACATTGGGCCATTCAAGCTCTCATTCATTTTGTTAATTTCTTGGGCTTATGGCCCAGAGCAATAGCTGATTTGCAGTGGACTGCGCTGTAATAGCGCCTCTCTGACCATAAGCAGCCGTGGATTACTTGCAGTCGGTGGAATGAAGGAGCAGTACTTGAAGTATCGGTTCCTGAATAGCGACAGATGCGGCAAGAGCTGCGCTGGGATGGTCTTCCCAAAAGCCGCGTGCACGAAAAATTGAGTAGGCTATATCGGATTCGTTCAAGTCCCCCTGCAAAGGGAACCAGTAAACTTGTTCCCAACAGCTATCTGAATAGTTCAGTGGTTCACTATTCCTTCTAAGGCCATTCAGCTCACTTTCTACTTTTAAAACCATTGCATATAGGTAGGTGTTTTTGGCCGAAACGGGATGTAACACACAGTCCTAAGCATTCGTATGTTGATGAAATTTTGCCTGTGAGAGGATGTTGTAAGGCTGCTAGCTCAGCTAACTTAATGGGGTCAGATATCCGCTGACCTAGCCTAGGTTATAACCTTCACTGTTCCCATGTGGTTTAGGGCTAACTACATTTATTTTAGCGAAAGGCTGTTGTTCAGCTAACTAGCAATTCGAACGACGTGACTGTTGACTTTATGTCGTCGCTAACCGCTGCACAACGTTGAACGGGATATTCGGTTATGTCTCAAACAGCATAGCCTTCTAAACGGAGACCGTTCTTATTGGGTTTAACTCTTGTTATTCGGCGTATTACATTACAATTTTGCCATCAGGTGCATCAGTGAAGTCATTCATTAGGTCACGCCAATAGTGTACACTTGGTTGAAATTATGTTTGTAGCAAGCCGTTTGGCGCTGTTAGGTCAGGCATAGTACCCCCACAGGTTTAGGCACCTCATGTAGATGTGCAATTCTCAAGATGTTTCAACGATTAGTCCACTTGAAACAGTGGACTATCACAAATTACCTTCTGTCTGTTCTATCCTCAGAACTCATTTGTTAGCTGGCATATCCAACAGCATTTGATGTCGTGTGCCTCTAGTACATCTTGTTCTCTACAAACAATGCGCCTATGAAGCTTTGATGAAAGACATAGGTAACTACTTAACTACCTCAGTTATCCTCGTTACCACATTCTTTGGAGCGTAGCTTCTCTATGGGTGGCTGGGCTGACCTGAATTAGGTTTGATCTATTGGTTCCACAAGCACACCCACTACATTCCTACTAACTTTTATTGTCCAGTTGCCTTCTTTGCCATGGCACGATGTGCTGCAAATTGCTTGTCACCAATCAGAAGGATAGGGCTGTGTGTGAATGAGATAGAGATTAAATGAGACCGTGTGTGATTCATCTGGACAGGCTCTTCAAATTTTATGATATGAGTCCGCCGTTTTGGTTGCTTCACTCCAATCTCAGCGCATAACTTAACCAGGTTGGGAGTGGTCGCACACACACACAAGTTGATCAACCGCCTTTCACTTTGGTGTGTTGTCGGTAACCCGACAGCGTACTCCGAATGATACAGCGCGTCCAACAATTTTAAGGTCGCTGGTGCAGCTTCAGAAAATGTATCATCAGTTTGATGCAACAAAATTCAGATGTTTTGCGTACTATCCTACACTATTCCGTAGTCTTTGTGTTTCCACAGAACGTAACAAGTACTGATGTGCGTGTGCGTAAGGCAGTCAGTCTCAACTTAACCTTCTTCGGTCATCCGTACGCTAAAGTGCAGAACTGCTGAAAACATCATGGTAGGGTCATTGTGTACCTGGCTGTCGGTCGATAGCCAACTGCTTTACCAACGTGCTGCATCACGTGACTCGAATTTTAGCTCAGCAACTGTTCCTTTTTTCCTTATTTCTCCCCCTATCATGTGCCACCTTCGAATGTGTGCATGATGAGTCTTCGCGCATTGCGCACAATTGCTAACCTGTTTGGCAGGATAAACGCTTATCCGTACTTCACCCTTTCTTACGTACGTTTCTGCTGTTGGGGGAGCATAAAACCGTTTCATCCCACGGCCATATTATTGCATTCATTTGTTATTAAATAAGTGGCAGTTGATCAGCTGGCTTCTGATATGTTCACCGGTCTTGGCCGTTAATTTGCAAACGCTTCCTTACTAACCTCAGAGACATCAGTGCGCGATTGGCTGGGTACTTCCGCGTGCCTGCTTGGGACTGTATTGTGTTCACAGACTGTTTGATATCTGTTGATGTGATCGGCTAACTGGAATGCAGCTTATTTGGACATCTCATTGCACATGAATGTATACCACGGTACGAATTATTATGTTAGCTTGTTTATTTCATCAGCATCGATTCACTATCATGGGCTACGCGCTACTTTCGTATTTTTTGCTTTTATGGTGCATTGTAATCTCAATCAAAGTTGTTTTCATTTATGTTGAAAGAAGAATAAAACTTTGTGTAGATAGAACTCAACTCTGCCATTTATTTTCGTAGCTTTGAAACTCAGCCGAACTTGAGTGGTAAAGGAACCTCTCAGCAAGACATCATTAAGATATGGGGTTTGCTTGTATATCATGATGAGTAATACGGTGTGCGGATCGTAATGCGGTGTGCGGATGGTTTTACAGGTACAATCTTGACATATTTTTTATTTCTGAATGGCTGATAAGATTAAACTGGCAATAACTCCAAGAAGTCCAGCGTAAACATCGGAATCTGTCATGTGAACTTGCATAAGTTGTGTAACCAGTTTTATACAAGTCACTTATCTACATGTAGTAAATAAAAACAACAGCTATCGACTATCCTTATTAGGTAACTACGGAGGAGTCTTTTCGAACGCAGGCAACCTAGTTTTTTTGTCGAGTATCAAAGAATCTTGCTTTTAAAAGCAATGGTTGTGACCAACAATCTTGCTGGTGCTGTGTTACTACAGGGAACCTGTTTTAACCTGTTTTGTAAATACACTGAACCATGTTTATTTTTTAATAAGAAATGCTGTGATCTTTTAGGAAGTGGGGTGTAGGGTTGTGTGAATTAGGTGTGATTTTATTACCCTGACGGCTTCACGCGCCTAAAATCTCCCCTAAATGCAAGGCCTGGACTTCGAGACGCGTTTTAAACACACGCAAAATCACTGTCTTGTTGTTTATAAGATTAGATAAAATGGTACTCCTTAAGTGCGGATGTTAATGTTTTTATGACAGATTTCATGGGTGGTGATAGTTATGGTGACGAGAGCCAACCGAGCAAGAACATTCGTGGTTGTTTTACAGTGAACGGAAGCACTTTGTCGGCCTGCCATACATACTATTGGCGAACTTTTGTTCAAAGTTCGAGAACCATTCGTTATTGAGAAATGAACAGCTTACATTTGGACTGCACTGTCAAGCTGAACTAATTGTTGCAGCTTTTATGGTGCAGGACAGATCACCTGTTAAGGAAAGCCAGCTTCCCATATGACGCACCTTGGCCTCTTTTCCCTTTTAGGAGTGGGTTTACTGTACAGTTCGATTTTTTCAGGTGATTTTACTCAAGGCTGGACAAAAAAACCGTCTCTACCATGTCGACGTGATGTTGGATTTTGGATGATTTGTGTGTCCCCCAAGTGCTTGCTTCTTTTCCTACCACAGTGTCATTTGTGATAATTCATGACATTAAGTGCATGGTATTATGGTCCCTGCCGGTGATTATTCCGATAATGAGCTGATATGGTTTTGCTCTTTCCATTTCTTGTGTTCTCCATTCAGGATTCCTTGCTTGCCTTGGTACAAGAACCACCGTCTCGGAATCTTATCAATGGATGTTATATCAAGAGGTAAACAAACAGCTATCGGATCGAGCTGGCTAATTTTCACTTTTAGGTCGAAGATATGATCATCGCAGCAGGTTCCGCTTTCTTTCACTGTCTTCCCCATCCAACATGGAACAAGTTTGTCGGCATATATTCACGTAATTCTCCTGTGGTAAGTGCTTTTAGTAGTTTGCTTGTGACCTTCTAGCGATTCGTTAAATTTTCCTAACAGAACTTTCATGCCTTCTAACTCATGAACTCTGATGGGGGACAGTCGACGTGCGACCTTTTGGCGCCGGGTTTCGAACGTCACGTCACACCACAGAAAAAAACCCCGGACTACAGCGGATCATCAATACAAACATTGATGCTAGTGTCCACAGTAATGATGTTGATTACAACAATGATAGGTAGTTTCATTCCCTTGAAACATCGTTGGCAGTATGCACGTACCTTCACACGTGATCGGTCTGACTCACGATTTGAATGCATCCAACCAACCGAACGTCCTGAGGTTTGCGCGGTTGGACACAGGAACATGCTCATTCCACCGGGGTGCATTTTTGTTGCGCGATCACCCGACTAATCTCAAGAAGGATGAGACCGATAGTGAGCTGTTGAAGAGTTTTCAGCAACCTTACGAGAAGAAAATACCTTTCGGTTCTGTACCATAGGACGAACATCCCAAATGTTGACAGCAACGAATATGTTGATTGACAGTTGTTTGGAAAGCAGTAGGCCAAAGTTAGTCTAAAAAAATTCGAACACAGTCCCACTAACTGGTGTTTACTCGTTCTTATTACTGAGCTTGGTGACATGCCCCTTGAATGTTTTTTCTCAGTTTCGACGTATTGCTGGTAACAGGCAACGGGTCCTAGGGTTAGACATTCTTGCGTGACAACGTGAGCTCTCGGAGATGAGTGAAACGATGTCGACTGTCGTTGCACAGCGCTGCGTTGGCGGACAGTTCTGTCCTGAAACCTCCTCATGTTATTCATAAGATGGTTATCGGGTCACTTCTGGTACTACTATATTATTTCGACAACTCCATTTTGTATGCTGACCGACTGCTCTGTAGACGACTAGTACATTAACTCGTACCTGGTGGTGCACAAAGGTATGATGTTACCGGTCTGATTCTATTCTGGCGGCAAGTGGTGTCTTTCTGTTAGTTGGCATCGGCTTAAAAACACCCTTTCCAGATACTAAGGTTACTATTTTGTCTCATTAAAATTCAAAATGTCATATCATGTCCCTCCTACTTTCGTCGAGAACGTTCAAATTTCAACGAGAAATGGGATATCGATTAGTTCCGTTTCCACTGGGCCATTCACTCACCCAGTGTTTGAATCTTTGGAACGTCTCGTGTACCGGTGCATTCACCTTTCACTACACCTTCCCTGACTGTTATTCCATTTTGTTTTCTCCGTAGACAAAATAGGCCTGTAATTTATGTGCTGTCCAGTTGAACAAATCAACGACACAACAAACTGTATCAAGGCATGCATACAGATACCATGTGTGTTAGTATAGATAGGCTCATGAGATCGCGAGTGTGCCTCATAAAGTGACATGATATGTACTCAGTTCATTGGCACGAGAGTCAATTTTCTTGGATATACTTGTGGGTTTGACACAGCCGTGTTCATCCATTTGTGTTGGCAACTCTTCGATAGCTCAGCCTCCGAGTTTCTATTAGTCTTTCATACATCACGTTCTACGTTAGTGGAACCGTACACTCATTCAGGAATTAATTTGGTGTGAAACTCGGGAGTCTTGTGTTTTTCTCGAGACACCACCAAGACTGTGACGCTTTGTCGTCACGCCCAGTGTACTTTCAGAGACAGAAAAAATACTTCTCTACTTAAATATTAGGTGGACGGGGTGAACAGGTCTTTTCTCAAACACCGTGGCATCCGATGAGTCATTGTTTCTCAGTCCATGACCCAGCACAGCACATGTTCACATCGAACAGGAACTATTCATTAATATGTTATATCGCGGTTCGTTTTTTATAGTTCTACCAACATGACAAGGATTCATGATGTTGTTTTCGGATTCAAGAAAGTATTTGTATGTTCTTGTTCACCCAAATAGTTGGTTATCAATATCCCAAGCCCTAGTCCAGGTGTGGGTTCAGTGAGTTATTTAGAAGACGGATTACTATTAACGCCAATGACGTAGCGTTTCTCAGCACGCATAGTATATTGCCGATTGTGACCAGTGTCAGTGGGGTTTTGCTGGATAGAATGAGAACGATCGAGACGTGAATTAACCACAATCTATATTCCTAATCGTTTGAATCGCTGCCGAACAGCAGTAGAGGGGTTCTGCAAAAAATGGGGTATAATGGAGTAGAAGTTTATCGGCGGTATACCTTCACCTACAGGGTTTCCTTCTTCTATACTGGGCCCACCAACATTTAGGACCACTTTGAGTGGTGCGCGGACAATAACTATTGTTTTCTTGGATAGACCGAAGATGTGGCATGATATCGCCCACTGCAATCTAAAGAATGCTACGGTCGCGTCTGTTGAATGATAGCAGTAGGTCTCTTGGTTTGAATTTTCGGTCAGTGTTTGAGAATTTCGTCAGATTTCCATCAGCTTGCGCCTCAACCTCGTGGTTATTGAGGTTACTGAATATTTACCCTATATTCTGAGGCTCATAACCTATCAGGTAAAATCCAATCTTCTAGGACATACTGCTTGACCCTCTATGAAAAGTGCGCGGGTTCTCTCGAGATGGAATGTCCCATGAAACAGTGATGTAGAATGTTCGTTGTGTACTTGGAGACGAGATGGTTCAGTAGTTTGAGTGCGAATTTACTGACCGAAAATTCCGTTGTTCGAACCCGACATTTGCCTCTGGAATCTACCCGTCTACGCTTGGATAACCTGATAGTATCCCAGCCATCCTGGTTCCTTCGGGTGGCATGGCANTTCATTGGGGTGGCATGGCAACTAGGCACCAAAAGAGTGTTACAGCTGGAGAATTGTTTACTTCTGCAGAACAGCCTATGACTGAGGATGTCATCATAGTCATCATCAGAGACTGTAACCGCAGTGCTTCACTGCCGTACAACCACAAGTCTTATCTAATTATATCTCATACCTTAGGATGAAAAGAAGAGAATGAGTGGTCAAGGGAGGGGACCTGGTGCTGGCCTGTCGCAACCATTCTGAGATGCCTACACCCCCAAGCACTCATCAGACTATATGGGAAGAAGCTGACATGTACGCCACTGACATCGATCGGTCCTCATTCCTTGTAATGTCTCCAGCCAAGCGCAGGCATAGTCATTGTGACCCCATCCTCTAAGGTGTACTCCACCAACAACACCTTAACCGTTCGTAATCTCTCTCACACCCTTCTACAGAGTCACACATTATCCACTTCAGTGATCCTGCGATTCTCAACTAGGTGCAGACAACAACACTCGTTTCAGCAGACGGTGTTTAGGCATGCGCGGCACATGGCCGAGTCACCGCAGTCGATGGTGCTTGGTGCTGTCGACAATCAAAGTACCTGCTGCGCAACCTTTGTAGTTGCCACGTTGCTGATCAGTTGATTCCATTCGACACCAACACCGCTTCGAAGGCATCGGTGGTCAAAGACCGAAAGAGATCTCGCACTATCTGTGCTCAGCTGCTGGTCTTTCTCTCACACTAGACTCCTTTGGCATTGATGCGTGTTGTGTCTCATAGATTCAAGCACAATGGTTGAGCCCCATCGTTCTCCACTTGCTTCCGGCTGTGCACCTCTAGCGACAGGATGTGCAAGGTTTGGTATTGTTCTAAGTCACCAGGCGGAAGGATTCTTGTTGGACTGGATATCCATTCTACGACAGTGAAGCATCAGTGTTGAGCACTGATGTCATGCTGTCGATGATGGTGATGATGATATTAATTGATAGTCACCTCTATGCGGTTCGTCTGGCAACAGCTTAGGAGTCTCACAGGAGGGAAGGTGATCGATGTCTGTCTATTGCTTCCGTTTACGCCCCAACTGACTGTAGCTCTGACATAATAAAAGATAGGTTTTATGACGCCATGAATGCCCTGTTGCGGCGAGCTAAAAGCTCGGATGTTCTTGTGGTTGTCCGGGATCTGAGTGCACAACTGAGCAGGCTTAGCGCACCTGAGATTAAATCACGTGGTCGACATAGATTGGACTCGATACGTACGGACAGTTATGAACGATTGCTTTAGCTGTGTGCTGACCACAGGCTGTTTTTATGCAATACTAACTTCCGAAGTAGCCGAAGTTGTCTGGTCACATGGTGTCCTCCAACGGCATGCCGCCCACAAACTCAGATCTATCACGTTGCTATCGGTTACCGATGGTGCGGATCAATAGCTGACTACCGGTCGTTTTTGGACTCATTTGTGGATCCCGACCAAGCACTCGTCCGGAATCGCTTCTCCCTACATTTTCGTAGACAAATCGCTTGGCAACTGAAAGTCTGACAGATCCGGATGTTAGACGAATTTACCAGAATCGTCTTCTATAGTTTTTTTCCAAATGTCCCACCATCATATGTGGACTCATCCTAGAACAGGTAGTTTGCAGCGCTTGTAAGCGTGAATCACGAACTTCCTGGCCAGAAATCCCTTTCATTCCGTTTTGTGCGGCAGGATAAACACAGCCGGATGACGGATTCTTTTGAAACCGCAGACCTCATTCCAGTTTCAAAAACCTAGGCCGCTACGACTGATTCAGTGAGGGAATATCTCAATCCTGGTTCTGATTTTCTAAGTTACTCTGCAGTGTTTCTCGAAGCCACATTCAACTGTGTTCCAGAGACAAAACTGATTTCTGTTGATTTTCGGCAACATTCGGGTTATAATTCCAAGTATGTGCTATTAGTTGCACAGGAGGTCACTCCCATACCAGTATCAAAAATCTGAATACTAAGTCGAATACTCGAGGTAGCGCATGTGTTTCACATTGTCCTTTAAGTGCTAGAGTGCTTCTTTAGTTCCTGGGAATAGAATACTCCCTGCTTATGCGTGCAGTTAACGTGCATTCAGGGTCTATATGAAGCTGTTTGTTCCGAAGCATCCTTATGTCATTATTAACTTACCGACTGGGTGAACCATTCGTCTTCTCTTTATCACTGTCGTAATAATACGCACGGGAGAATTCGCTTTCAATACGGCGACGCTCGTGGAATTCTCTGGGGTCATCTATTCATTGGTGATTCTATCTTTGCCTCTTGCTGCTTTTTCCTTCCCACCCACCCACCCACACGCAAGCACATTCATAGACTTCTTTATTGCATCTGTTCGATCCAGACGTCATCGTTTTGTTCATAAAGACCATCACATTCTTTTCATTCTTGTGTTGACCACTGTCGACAACAAGATTCCTCACTGTCACAACTAACTGGGACCAGACTAGCTGATGTCAGCGAATTACCGAACGACGAGATCATCTAGTAGGTCATTAAAGATGCAAACTTCTTCGTTTGGAAAAGTCCTACTATAGACGAGGCCGGAACGAAACTTACTGAACACTGAGAAACCGTGAATTACCGGTTCTGTGGTGGCTGTTCTGTAGCGCCTGTAAATGGCTACACCGGAAATGGTATTGGTTGTGAACTTCCTGTTTTCAACACTGACTCTGTTGTTGGTGGCGTTGATGTCGATGTTAGTGATGACGATTAAAGTGATGATGAAATGGAGAATAAGAATGCGGTTGACTGTGAACTTCTGATACTGGAATTCTTCGCGCTCCAGTTTTCCTTGAGGTGCTTGGAATTCTCTGAATGTAGGTTGTCTTCAATTGACCAGAATCAGGCTCTCTCTTTTACATACAGTACATTCGAAATTTGGCGTGAGTAAGCTTATCGAGTAGGTTGAGGATAAAAAGTAAATAGATAAATGGTCATTCGGCTGTAACACTTTTGGCGCCTAGCTGCCAGGCTATTCAAAGGGCTGAGATACTACCAGCTTACCCAAGTCTAGACCGGAGAGGTCTTGATACTTAGATTGGGTTCGAACTACGGACCTTCCGCTTAGCAGTATGTAGTGTGTTAAAAATGAGGGATAATAGTGTCGGGTTTATAGCACCAAGGAAGCGATGGGATGAGAGTTTGAGAAGTACTGCTGTAGTGTCTCCGGATTATCCCAATTTACTTAACACTATGGAGTGGATTTCAAGTATGGGTTTTACCCATTCAAGTAGGATCTCTAATTTTCTGGATTTCGGTCCGGGCTCGGTCTAAACACACAAGATCTGGAACCACTTCTCTCTATCTATCGTTCAGATTTCTGTATACTCAGCTTCATCATGTCCTCCACCACTAGTCGCGTGACTTATAATGCGGTCTAGCACAGTCATCTAATCTGCGACTTTACCAGTAGTGTTCGGTTCTCTTGATACTTTAGCGTTGTCGGTCAACGTTGCAATCATACGTTGAGGTCCTTATAGGCTTTGTCTCGCTTGAGACGAATGTCTGAAATTTACTATTGATTAATCAACAAGTTAATGCAGCCGCACTATCGGATCTTGTTTACTGTTGTTTCAGTGGGTGATTGCACAACATGCCTGTGCAGCCTATTCACTGGTCTATGTGCCACTGTACGATACACTGGGCTCCGAGGCTGTACAGCACATACTAACACAAGGTGAGTTATTTACTGACTTCCTTTTTTCACCCTGCCTCGATCAAAAAATCGGGTATGAGCGGAGCATTTATTCTTGTGTTGGTTCAGATGTAGGTCCGCGGAGAAGCCACATTGACCCAACTTTTTGAATCGACCTTTTGTGTCTGTTCTTGCCGGTGAAAAATTATTGGTATTTCGGTTTCGGTTACTAGTTTGGTCTGGTCCGATTTGGTTCTTATTAGTCCACCTTTAGCAGTTCCGTCAGTCCCTATCTCCGTACTGTTTTTAGGAATCTTCATTCTAACTTCTCCTTGGTGTGCATCCTACAGCAACTGTCCAGATCATTCTAACGTGATTGGCTTCGGGAACCCAAAAATCTGATTGCACTTTTCGGTCGATACCGAACGCACTCTATTGGCTTCCTTTTTGTTTTCAACTGTTACGTCTAGAATTCCTTCACTAAGTGTATTCATATTCGGGACGCATTCCCCACCTGTCGTTTTAATCCATGTCTCCAGGTAGTTAGCTAGAATCGCTGACGGATACCAGTCGAGGATTGCCTTACTGACCGACTCTCATGTACCCTGTGTTGCGTTTGAAGCTGTCCTGTCTTCAAGCCGCCAGTGGCAGTACATCATCATCATCAACAGCATGACATTAGTGTTCAACACCGATGCTTCACTAATCACGAAGCTAGAAGGTGGAAACTAATTCCTTCTGATGTATTCGGGAGGACGGTCGGACGCACTTCGCATAACTTCCATGATTTGTTCATGGTCCCATCATCACGTGGAAGTTGCGGTTCTTTGGTCGCATATCGTTCCTCTCAAAAACCCTGTAAAAACTTATTTTTGATTTATTTCTATACATTATCATTTATTTTTGAACAGCATGGTCACAAACATAAAAAGTGAATGTAAACGATGAATGCGAAAGAGTTACGGGAGAATATGGGAGAAAAGAGAGAAACGTCTCATTCGAAATCATGCCAAGAACAGTTCCAGTCTGATTAGATGAATCTCAAAGTATGTAAATGTTTTGATATGGCAACACGCGTCTAAAAACCAACAACCGAAGAAAGGACAAACGATGTTGAGTGCTCTTCAAGGCGCGGTAGGCGCTAGCACAGTCAAGACTCGCACATCAGGCACAAAGTGTCCGTCATACCGGGTCTGGTGTGAGATTAAATGGCAAAAATGTAAATTCACCGCCATGTGCCACGCATAAAAGTGTCATAAGTATGCAGGGAGCCCACAATGGCAAGCAAACAGGTCACTGACTGCGACCTTAGGAAGTCCCGGTCCAATAACAGCCTTAGCGGATTGAGGAAAGCAGATCCCTCGATAAGAGATGACTATCGGTTGGTGAACCAAAAAGTCGACATCACAACCGATGACATGTAGGGCTGAAATTATGGCGAGGGAATATTCATCAGCACCATACTTCTGTTCACCTACACTCGGTCAATCTTCCGGACTGTTTCTGGAACAGAGTGTAGAACTTCAGCAGTCTAATCTATGACTGTCCAGGGTTTCTCAATTGGTCGTAAAGATACTACCTCCCCCTCTCGCCTAACCTTCGAGACACCCCCACCCCCCGGAGAATTTGAATTGTAAAAGAACTCCCTCTTCAAGCGACTGGATACGAACGCGACGTTTTTCTGACGTTCGCTTTCCACGTTTCTCCATATGAGTCTTAGCTCTCAAACAAAACCAATTTCGTCTCTGATCTTGCGTGGGGAGCACTGTGCTATCTTTCGAACCCCTCGCGCAACTCCGCACTGCACAACGTTAGGGTAGAGACGGTGCAAAATGATATGGAAATTCTGTCACTCGGCACTCCACTGATTTGAAATGACCTCAAGTCAGCCAGTTCACGATCCTGCAGTGGGACATGAAACCCCCACTCCATGCTCTCGCTGGCTTGTGGACACAACATCCAACCCTCAGAAACGCCGATCCATGTGTACCGGTGGCTTCTGTGAACTAAACCTACAGTCTTTTGAGCTTGGTTATCTCAACCCTCACTAGAGCACAAAAACAGGCTCACTCTGTACTCTAAATATCGTCTCTAGTCGGTTATTCAACCCCTCATTGTCAATATCTAAAGGGACTGTAATGGTCGCCGTACACCTTGTGACCATCTGGGCATCACACAGCGAAAGGAACTACCTCGCTGCCCCTTCAGTCTTCTTCCTGAGAGATTACATCAAAACAAAACAGTCTCGCCCAACAGTTGTTGAATTCATCAGAGGGAGAATGACTGGACGCTCAGGCCGTATTCGTCTAAGCCAGTAATATTTTCATTTCGCCGTTTCGATCCCATATCTTGAAGGCTTTACTTACCGCCACACCCTCTGTAACCTGCCTGCAGCTCATTCAGTGTGTTGGCTTTTTATCCTTATGTCATATAAATGTTGGGAAAAATAGTTAATTCAGATTACCTTTTTAGACAGGCGAAAAACCCATAGGTATGTTGTTAATCGTCTCTATTTGTTCCCTTATATCATGCTAGCCGAACTTGAAGTCCTCATCTGTCATTCAGCAAAAGAGGCGGATAACGTATTGAAAAATTTCCACTCTTCACTCAAAGTCATCGTCATATACCTCAAGAGTAAGGAGGCAAATGAACTGAAAACTACATTCCGTGATCGCTGTGATATATACTTTTGGGATGAATTTGTGGTAAGTCTTTGGTAATACGAACAACACCAAATTAGTCCACGCTACACCTGTACATGTTGGGCATCGTGAAAAAAAAACCTAAGGTATCGCGTTTTTTCTAGTTTAGCCTTTCTAATGGATGTACTCCCAGAGTCCACTGAGCCGGATAACATACGCCTTCGAGAATTGCACGATCTTTAAAGCGTCGTAACTTCCCATCAGGTTGCGGCCCTCAAACCTGTGCACCGTAAAACGTTTTTTTCCCTAATGAGACCTTTTTAGTTACATACGAAGACATTTTTGACGTAGATATAGTACTGGGTCAGTTAGTCCTTTTGATATATATATATATATATATATATATATATATATATATCCCATTTTGCGTGCCTCAACGAATTCGCAAGAAATCAAATCAACGTAGTTACCTCAGACAGCCTCCTTACCCGCAACGATAACCTGGAATTAATTGCGCTTGTTAAGCTCGCTCATTGACCCCTGGCTTTTCCTGTCTTCGGCAGAGGTGGACAAACCTCGGTGAAGTGGTAGACAAATTGACAATTTCAGTACTTGCCAAGCATGGTGCTGCCTAGTGAGTAAACTAAGCTGACAATACAGTCATCCGCTTAAAAAAACGAATTTTTTTATCGGTCACATACAGTCTCATCGGATGTACACTTGGATTGTGACAACCATCATCGATAGTGGCCAGGCTATCACAGTCCTCGTAATCCATAACCCCAGTGGGTTTACCTCCGAAAGGGATAATAACATTCAAAGTATGAATACTAAGTAATGAATGATGATGGTGCTAGCTTAATGAATATTCTACAGAGCGTACAAATCAACCGACGAACTTACCAAAAGTGCAACGGTTAGAAGGAAAGCACCGAAACTGACTGCAAGTCTTCGACTAAAGTGCGCCGACTGACCTCGAG